CACCTCTTCCCTCCTTCCCTGCTGAGTGCCTCAGATCTATGGTCAGTTTGCAAGCTTTGTCTTTTTCTTGACCCTTTGTTTGGTTTCTTTATATTCTTCATATAAGAATATGAAAATATGAAACCATCCTTTCTATATACAGACACACATATATGTATGTAAGTACTTTTTTTTTTTTTCCTAAGCAGGTTACATATAACCCTCTTGCTAGCTCAGAGTGGAATAGACTTTCAACATTTGCATTGATGGCTATAGATGAATGGCCATCTTGGCTTTAAGTGATGTGGGGCAGTTCTAAAAACATTGAATTGATTCTGAGCTTATTTCCATTTTGAAAGGTAGTAAGAGGTAATAGGGCCATGGGAGGTGTGTGTCTATGAACTGGGAAATAAGAGGAAGGAATTGGCTATAAAATTGAGGATTTGGGTGAGAAAATAATTCCTAGGAATTGCTGCCTCTGTAGACAATATATAGTTTAAGGTGTAAATAGTCACACTTCCATTGCTTGACAGGCACTATCCAAACATTTCAGGAGGTATTTTAATATTAGTGATTTTTGGTTTCTGCCTAGCAGGGTCCATACAATGCCAGCTTCTGAGTTATGAGATTAAATTGATTGCTTTAAGCTTAGCATGGCTGAAATTGAACTCACCTTCTCTGACTACATATCTCTTTTGTCCTTATTCCTGAGCTCAGTGGCAGGCTCATTCCTTCACTCCCTGAGGCAGGATCATGGCCAGACGTCAGGAACCTCTGGCTCTCTCCTTTCCCACAACAAAGCCATCTCTTCTGTCTGCCAATTTCTATTCTAAATGCATCTACAGGCTTTGAGGAAAAGAGGTATAAGTGAGAGCACTCCAGAATAATTGGAGAAAGGAACCAATTTCAGTATTATTACAAGTGAGTGTGGATCCGTGTTCCAATGACTGACAGAAAATCAACACCAAACAAGATTTTTAAGTCATGACAAAATAAGGAAAAAGAATTACTAAAATCTACAAAATACCAAAACCCCCTTTCACTAAAAGAGAACTGCTTCTGCTTTATCATTGATGGCTTTAGTTCTATTTTGGTCTGCCCTCCCCACAGAGAAACCTTTGAGACATCAATCAGAGTTAATGTCACAGTCTTGAGCCTGAGCAGAGTCTGGAGGCAGAAGTCCTTTATGTGATCTCATTCTCAAGACCATCAACTGATTGGACAAGACCCACCCATATTATGGAGGGCAATCTATTCTACTCAAAGTCTACTGATTTAATTGTCAGTCTTGTCTAAAGTGGTCAGAAGATGTTTATTCAGTTATAAGATTAATAAACTCTAGGAATCTAATGTCCAACATGGTGATGTATTCAGTTATAAGATGAATAAACTCTAAGAATCTAATGTCCAACATGGTGATGTAGTTAGCAGTACTGTATCGAAACTGCTAAGAGAGTAGATCTTAAAAGTTCTCACCAAAAAGCTGGTGATTGTGAGGTAGGGAATGTGTTAACTAACCTTATGATGGTAATCACTTCACAATGTATGTGTGTATATCAAATTTTTTAGCTTAAACCTACACAATGTTATATATCAATTCTATGGCAATAAAGCTGGAAAGGAAAAAAAAATATATTAATTACATGTATAAAATACCTTCTCAACAATATCTAAAGTGATGTCTGACCAAAAACTGGGTATCATGGCCTAGCCAAGTTGACACATAAAATTGATCAAAAACAGTTCTCCTAAATTCATCAGTGTAGTGTGCACTCTAGTCAGATTCTGCTTCCTGAGGTCTTTGATAAAACATGATGAAGATCTGTCTAGCTTTAGGGAAGTAAGAGATGTCTGTGTTTCTGCTGAGTGAAAAAGATTCTCAATGGAGTTAACTAACATACTCACTTCTTTTTGGTTTCTATGGGAGAGAGAGTAAAACTTATTGTAGGCCTGTAAAGTGGTATGCTAGAAGCACACATCTCTGCTTTGGTGGGTTTTGGGCAGATTTTTCTGATTAGCAATCATCATTCTTTCAAGATTGTGGGTGAGCAGCCCTCCGTGGTCTAAATTAGTTGGGAATCCACAGAATACAGTGGCAGAGAGGTTTCTGTATCTTCCAGGGCTTTCCAAAATTCTCTGCATGGCTTTGGACAAATTACTTAACCTTCTCTATCTTAGTTTTCTTATCCAAAACAAAGCCTGTTTTTGAAAAAGTAAATAAAAACCTAGCATTTAGTATTTCTATAATGTGAACCCAACTTACCATCCAATTATCTTTCCCATGGCTTTTCTACTTTCTGTTCTAGCAAGCCAGATCCCACCTTCCTCTGTGATTATCACACTAACTCCCACTGAGTTATCTTCTCTGTGATTTCTACAACATGGAAAGCTATTCCTCTCTCTGACACATCTACTTTTCAAATATAACTCATAATAATTTAATATTTTTAATAAGAACGTTTATAAATTAGTTTTAATTTATAAAATCAATAAATTTTATATAATATGGACTAATGTTGTACAGTTTACAAAAAAGGGGGGGAATTCAAATAGCCAATAAACACAAGACAACATGTGCACCATCACCAAGGAGAACAAGAACTCAAATATTAAACATAGCTTTTGATTTTCAGAATGGGAAAGATTTCTGTGAATACAACCCCAGGATAATATTTGGAAGAATTCTAAAGGAGGATGTATTAATTTCCAAAGGCCATGGTGCCAATGTATATACTACACTGGGTACTTAAAATAACAATGAATTTTCTCACAATTGTGGAGCTTAGAAATCCAAAATCAAGGTGTCAGCAGGGCCATCTGCCCTCAGAAACACATAGCAGAGGATCAATCCTTCTGTCGTTGGCCATCAATCCTTGGTATCCTTACATGGCTCCATGCTCAGCCTCTGGGTCACGTGCTTTCTGCTGTGTGTTTGTGTCCAACTTTTCCTTTTAATAATGATACTAGTAATTTTGGATTAGAGTCCACCCGGATGAGCTCATCTTTGCTCATGACATCTGTAAAGACTATTTTCAAATATGTCACATTCAAAGGTAATGGGAGTTAGGGTTTCAACATAATCATTTGTTAGGGGGCACAGTCCAGTCCTTCATGGCAAATACAAAAGAGCATAGGCAGAGACCCTAACTTGTAACAACAGAGAGCAAAAGGAAGGATGGCTACAGCTGAGATAACCCGCACAGAGGAATGTCAGGACCAAATGAAACACTGTACCTGATATCAAGATGCTGTAACGGGGGCCCTTAGGCCTAGGAAAAAAGGAAGTTCCAGGTTTCCTGCCCCTTACAGAAGGAGGGTGGAGCTGAGAAGAGAAAGAGAAGGAGTCTGGGGAAGAAGGAAGCTGGTGGAGAAACAGAAGGAGACCTGAGAAAGCCACATGGAGCAGGGAGCATGTGGTGAAGAAACCATGTTTGTTTCTTGGCCCTGGACTGATTGAAAGAGATGTGGGTGAGAGACCTGTGGGGAGGTGACTATGGCAGTGTTTATTTTGATTTTGATTGTGCTTTTTTCCACCCAGGCTTGTCTGGCCATGTCTATGGCCATTTTCTATGGGTTCCGGCCAGTAGGTGCTTTAGGCTTGTGGCAGCTTTCAGGCCTTGCTTTGGGCCAATCCCTTTTGGGTGGACTTTTGCCCACGAGGGGATGGGTAACTTCAGGTGTATGATTTAGAAATTAATATTCCTTGTCTTCTGTGTTGTATACTCACTGTATTTAGGTCCCTGTTCATTAAAGTCTTACATGTTTTGTCTTGATGTGGTGGATGGCAGACCCATTTAGAGTAGACAGGCTTGGGGGTTCCGTTGTGCCTCTCTCCCTGCCCTGTAACAATGTTACATAGCTTCTAGAAGGTAGATGAATACAAGGAGAACAGAAGGATGAACTTTAACTTGGAGTTAAACAGAGTTGGTTTCAATAGACAAAACTATTTGCTGATAACAATAAGTAGATACAGGAATGTTAAGTTCAATTCAGGTTATATCTGTTTACATACACATGAATAATATACAGAATTCACCTCTCTTTGTATATGAAAGAGTTATAGTTAAGTAGGATGGATTAGAAAAAAATCCTACTCAACAGCAACCAAATAGAACTCCAACATTCTAGAGAAAGACATGGACTTGTAGAGATTATATTGAACCTGATGATGAAGTCGCCAGTATGTGGTCATTTAAACTACAGAAGTTGCCATTCAATAGGTATTGACTGAATATACCTGGCAGAGGGACTTCAACCTTTAAAGCCTGGCAAATCACCATCTGTTCCCTCAACATATTCTTTTCACCTGGTCTGACTTTCCAGTCATCCCTCCCTCTCTAAGGAGCCCTCAGATGAAGTCACACTTACTTCGTGAGTCCTTCTCAAGCTTCTGTAGGCTGTTTGCGCCTTTTTCTTTCCTGCTCTCACTGTACCTTCTCTTGTGAAGTCATGTTAACATTTTCTCAAAAGGGTGTGAGTTTGTAGACACAGCCACTAGGTCTTATTCTTCATATTCAGAGCTCTTAAAATTGTGCCTGGTGTGTAAAAAGTTACTATCCCGTGAATTTTGGATTGCTGTATGTGGCTGGTGCGGTGTTAAGTGGGAAAGTTCTCTGCCCACATCCCTCCCTCAGCTGACTTGGGGTATAATTGGCTGGCACTGGACTGGAGGGGCTGGTACCTGCAGGGCTGCTCTGGAATCTGTGCTACTCTTAAAATCAGTGAAACACTTAAATGGAATCCTCAGAGTAAAGAAGTGGGTGCCCCAAATTTGTCTTTTGCTAGTCACTAAAGGTTAGAGAAAAAGAAAAGCTTTCTCAGCTGCAGAGTGGGTTTTTAATGGCTTCAAGCTATGTGTAATGTGTGCTTTGCTCGAAAGACATTGCAAATTTGTATTTCCCCCAGAGTTTTGAGCGTAGACTTCCGAATTCCTTTGTTTCTTGGTAAAACAAATGCAAACAATTTTGCAGAGGACAACAGGTGAATAAAAAATTAAGTTCAAATGAAATAGGAAGTGCTTTAATAGGAATGTTTTATTGTTTCTGCCTGAGTTTCTAACATAGCTTATAAAGTGAAAATACTGCTTTAATAAAAATGGAATACTATCGGTTGCATGAACTCCTGCCCTCCTCCAGCCACAGCGACGGCTTCCTTCATTCCCTGGCGTCACTGACGAGGGCTGTGGTGGAATAGGAGTAGGGGCTGAGCAGCGCAGCGATGGTGTAGCGTCGCTGGCCCGAGTCGTTGGCTGTGAACACCACCTGCAGGAAAAGAGACAGGCCGGTTGCAGCAGAGCTCAACTGGGCTTTGCACAGAGGCCCCACCCTCTGTGCTGATTATTTTTATTTCATTATTTTGTTTTTTGGACAGGTTAGAACACCAAGCCAATATCCAAATAGGCTGGCAAGCTAACCCACTGGAGCCTTGTGTGATCCCAGAATTAGACTTTTCCAGTCTGACTGCAGAATCAGGTCTCACTTTTTCTAAAGACTTATTTAATTATGCATGCAGAACTGGGGTGTAGGCCAAAGGTGCA